TAATTTTTCATTGAGTGTCCCAACATACTGTGATAGAGGCAATAATTAGGATCATCAATTTTCCCATCTTCTTTAGGATGTCGTGCTTCTGGAAGCTTCAACTGCTTTTTCTTGTTTGAGCACATGGAAAATTGCGAGTGTGTGTTTGTCTTTGAAGGAGTAGTTAGGTTTGCACATGTATGACATTAGTGACTATAGAGAAAATTCAAACAGATTACAATTGGTTTTACAATGCCTACAACAAATGTAAAAAGCAGCTAAATGCTGAAAATGGTAAATTTTGTTGTGACACTTGCAATGAGGATGTGATATTTGTTATTCCAAGTTATATGCAAAAATATGTATGTGAGTTCTATTTCAATGATTTCTTATTTCATGATATGCTTTATGGATGATTTACTGTTCTTATTGGCACTGCTAAAAAATGAGGCATCCTAGACGGAAAATTCCGTTTAGGATACACAGAATTCCGTCTAGGATAAGTATCCTAGACGGAATTCCGTCTAGAATACGCGTCTAGGAAGTTTCTGTCTAGGATATAGTATTCTAGACGGAAATTCCGTCTAAAATACATACTAGACGGAATATTCTAAACGGAATTCAAAACCGTCTAGAATACATCCTAGACGGATTATTCTAGACGGAATTCATCCTAGACTAATTCATCCTAGACGGAAAAAGTTTCCATCTAGAATGAGTATTCTAGACGAAAATTTCCGTCTAGAATACTCAGCTAGACGGAAATTCATGTTTTTTTATTTTTTTTTATTTTTTTAAAAATAGGTATCCTAGATGGAATTTGAGCATCCTAAACGAAATTTCCGTCTAGGATACTATGCTATAGTATTTTTTTTGTAGAATCTGCTTTGGGTGCATGTACACAATATTGAACAACAAAAAATTATATTCATATCCAACACAATCTAATTATATTACAATATCAAATCCAATTATATTCAAATAATACATTCACCAAAATACTAGAGATACATAAATTGTTTACAAACTTTTACCATACAAAGCTAATAAGGGCTGACAATATCCCCTTTAGTAATTAAATGCACCATCAGATAACGCATTGCACATGTGTGTGCTATGAAGAAACTCCAGATGAGCATATTCAATGTCAATGGCATCAATATGGACCTTTTTTCCAAGGTGGGTTGGATACACTACAACAAAATACAACATTGCCGACGAAACAAAAACGTCGGCAAAAGTCTAAAAAACGTCGGGAAAAATCTTTCCTGACGCAAAATGCAACGTCGCTAATGCGTCGCCAAAAGTGCGTCAAGGAAAGTATTTGGCGACGCAAATACACTACGTCACCAAAAGTACACTTTCGGCGACGCATCATGCGTCGGGAAAAGTATATCTTTTAGCGACGCATAATAATTTGCGTCGACAAAAGTGTACTTTTGGCGACGCATGCAGCGTCGGCAAAAGCTATGCGTCGGCAAAAGTATAGCTTTTAGCGACGCTATCTTACATCGCCAAAAGTATAGCTTTTAGCGACGCAGAGTGAAGCGTCGCTAAAAGCTATACTTTTGGCGACGCAAGATAGCGTCACTAAAAGTTATACTTTTGCCGACGCAAAATAGCGTCGGCAAAAGTATAATTTTTTGCAACGGTAAATAGTATAATTTTATCGACACTAATTTACATGGCCAAAAGTAATATCTTTCCTACCAACTACAAGCCTACACTAAACCTAAACATCCATAAAAAATTTACTCCCATTCACATCAACAAAGAAACCAAACATCAAATTATACTCCAAACAAGTTGCATATTATGATAAACAAAGAATTTGCTCCCATTGCAAAATAATTACATTCATTTCCAATTCCAAGTCAACACTCAAAGGCCTGTTTAAATATTCCAGTTTGCCATATTCAGTGTTTTCCATTTCAGAGAATGACACATTATAAGATTTACAGGAAACTAAACTAAGTTGAAAAAAAATATGAAGTGAAAGAACGGCACGATCAGTGAACCTCTTCACAGATGAAGGTTTATTCTCTTGTAGAGTTTTTGCGACTCTGTCTAACTCCCACATTTGTTACTTTGCAGTCACTCTATCAGGGCCACAATACATATCCATAAGCTCTTTCATGTGTGGTAGCCTTTCCATCAGTTCTTTGATTATTTCCTGTTAGAGATGCTAGAGATATCAGTTCTTTGATTAAACAGTCTTCTATACAGTTTAAAACAGAAGCAAGATTTTCACGCAAAATCATAGCAAAGGCCATGCAGACAGAGACTAGAGGCATTTGAAAATTACGTAAAAAGAAAATTAGAGACACCCTAACCCATCCATCTCCAACTAGTATTTTCTTCTTCAACATTCGTTCTTTATTATCAGCATCAGCTTCAGCTATCTCTGCTTCTATAGGAATAAAATAGCTTCTATAGGAACTACCTCAATCTAGCTCACTCGTATGGTGAAAAACTGATCAATTTGATGGTAGCTGTTTCACTAGTCTTAATAAAAAGTAAATGTCAGAAAGAACAATTGGAAATATTTATCCCTCACACGGACTAAAACAATAAACTTTAGTGTTAGATCTAATAAGGGATATTCTTAAACTTTGATCTATTGAGGTGGACATTTACAGTTCAAGTATCAGCCTTTACAATGAATGTGCCGCAGTTGTTCAAGTATCAGCCTTTACAATGAATTTGCAGCAATATGCTTCCAAGGCCCTCCTGAAAACCACTTGTTTCATGGATTACTTTACACTAATTTCTTTACAATGACATAATATTAACTGCAGAAAGCAACAGAACAAATGAAATAATAGACCTAGAAAAGCCGTTTATGGTAAAGAAGCATTAGTTTCAACTGGAATAAGCTTGTATTATTTACACAATCTTATAGTTTTATTACATGTAATTCATCAATATAATCAAGATTTTTATGAAGGCAGTAAAAGGGGGAAAAACATACCTTTCTGATGATATCCAGCAATTGTAAGTTGAACTAATGAGATGAGCAAAGTTGCGATGATGGCCAACTCGATGGATACTCTCATGGGGTACGTTATACAATATTTACAATGTAATTCCCCGTAGCACATATGGTGGTATCATGTGGCTCATAAGCTTGATTGACGATAATTCTAGCGCTAGGCAGAGCAGCGCTCATGTACTTTATTTTTTCTTATATTTATAAATTTAATTTTGCTTAATATGTTATCAAACACCACATAGTTATTATTCAATTGGACCTTCAGAGTGGAGATATTGGAGGGATCAACACCCGTTCTTATAACCGGGATAGAGATGCTGCCGACGACAGCGATTGTTGAGGTTTTTTTAATTTGAATGCAATAAATAGTTTTATTTGTTATAGCACTCTACTTTTATTCATGTCGTGTACTCTATCTTATTCATGTATATTGCTAGTGTATATGTTGTTGGATGTATATATTAGACGGAATCGGTTGATATATGTTTTGGATTGGATGGTTGGATTTGTGCATGGTGTTGGATTTGATTATATTTGGTTATGGATGGAATTATTATGAATTTTGATTATATTTGGATGGGTGGATGCTTGGATGTATTCATGTGTATAATATAATGGTAAATAAATGTACAAGGAATTAATAATTACAAATAATTTTTTTTGCTAAAAAATTATCAACCTAGACGGAATTTCGTCTAGGATGGTTTAATCTAGACGGAATTCCGTCTAGGTTGGCAATCTAGACAGATTTCTGTCTAGGTTGGAAACCTAGACGGTTATCTTAATTCCGTCTAGTTTGATATCCGTCTAGATTAGTCAACCTAGACGGAATTCCGTCTAGTTTGCCCCCAACCTAGATGGAATCAGACTAGACGGAGCAAACTAGACGGAAATCCGTCTAAGTTGAGCAACCTAAACGGGAAGTAGAGCAACCTAGACGGAATCCCTTGAACATCTCTTCTTCTCATGTATGGAAGACGAGAAGAAGAGATGTTGAAGGGAGTATGAGCATTTTTCTCCAATAGAATGGGTGTTAATCTTCAAAATTAAAGTCAGTCATCTCTTATTTCGATCAAGGGATGTTTATTTTCTAATGCCAAGTCAAAATTGGTATGGAATGAGGTTATTACAGTGGCGGAGCCATAAATTTTATTTTTGGGGGCTAATAATACAAGTTACATGAACATAAGTTCCTTCTAATGCATTTAATAATAAAATCAACTTCGAATCAAATTTGTATGGTCTTTCATTCAAAGATATAACATCATAAAATCCAAATGAAAAAAATAATACAAAACATATATAACAATATAAGAAAGAGAAGTGAAAAATTAAGATACTTAATGGTAATGCAAATTCTGAACTTTTGAGGAGTTTATGCTTATTTTATAAAATCTAATGATTATTATTCGCATAAGTTCTAAAAGTTTGGGGGCCCACGGCACCCCACACTTGTACGTGGCTCCGCCACTGGTTATTCTTACTATATGTTGTTGTATATGACAAGCGAGATACATGCTTATCTTCGAGGGGATTAAAGCAAAAATTCTAAAGATCATTGAATATAGTATGCATTTTCTTACTTTTTTTGGATAGGTTCCACCGAGAAGATATTGACAATCTCCATCAATCGATCAGTTTTGCTTACCCGCAAAATAAATGATGTCTCAGACTAGCATGATGATGAAGATGAGGGGACCTAAGATAAAATTTGCTATCTCAATTTGATTAGCTATATATAATGGCTGATAATTTAATTTGAAGACTCAATTGTAGCTCCTTTGTTGTTTAGTGGTGTTTTTTGAAAACGTTAAAACTTGTTGCATGGGGGATTATTGTTTGTTGAGGTGATGCTTTCTTGTTTTGATGAAAGCCAAATTAAATAAGTTATGGCTTAGGATTTGATTACTATAAGTTATTTCCTAGTTAGCGGTGGGTGACGATAAAGTATCTACTTCTAACCCTCTTCAATATAATAAAGAGTTCTCTCATGCTATATATCCCTCTTCAATATAATAAAGCAATTTGTTCAACTTACAATTGCTTGCAAAGGCAACCCTTTCTTAGCATCTTCATATGCCACTACTCGCAACTCTTCATAACTGACATCGCCAACAATGTCACAAGGCCGACTGAAAATTGAGATGAATGTATTGATCAGATAAAGATTGTTTATCATTGTTAGCATTTCCATAAGAGGAAAACAAAAGAAAAGGAGGGATTGGACAAGAAGGCATCTAATTATTTCTTTCGAATGAAAAGTGAAAGTTGATCAAAAAATTATATGAGACAAAGAGCTTCTGACTTATCCAGCACAAATTGATCACCATTAAGGCATTAACTAATAAGTAAAATCCTTTCACTTACTTTTGTTTTCATTTGTAATATTAAGTTGCTCCTTTTGTTTTCATTTGTTTTCGTTGTATGTTGTGTTATGATACAGTACTGTTGGATTTGTTCAAGTGTGTGGATGCTTATTTGTTAACATTACGAAACCATATAAACCTTAGCCTTCTAAATTTTGAAACAAGTGAGTGAATTTTGGGCTTTTTTTCCTTGTTCAAACCCCGCAAAATTACACCCCCTACATTGAATTATATTTATGCGTTTATTGGATGAAGAAAACAAAGGGCTAAGCAGCAAAATGCCTTGCTTGTTAATTGTAAAAAGTTAAAGGAAAATGCTATTTTTCTTTTACTGGGAGTCTTCTCATCCTAACGCAGGTGGGAGGCTATAATATTTCTATAAAAAACATAGAGAAGTGATAATTCCTAATTATCAATTCTATTAATCCCTCGTCATAAGCTAAGGATACTTTTCACTCAAACATATCCCTGCTTCTTCCTGGTAAAATTTCATTTTTGAATCTATCCATCTGCAGTTATCCAAGACACTTCAAATAATATGTGAGAATGTATAAAGGCATGCAAGTCGTCATTCTTTGCCTACTTGCATAGCAGTAATGTACCAAGGCAATTACATTTGTTATCCAAACTTTAAAAATTATGGTTGCGTTTGCAATAGTCAAGATTGAAACAAAGCATTAAAACAAGAAACCGAGTTCGTTAATGTAGCATAACAACAATAATAATCACCTTATTAAGTTGCAACATATATTCATACAAGCTTTAGAGATCAAAGCTCATAGACTAGAACAAGAATACATATATTCATCCAAATAAAAATACAATGCAAATACAACAGTAATTAGTGAACACTGCATTAGTGAAGACCAAAGGAATGATTACCGAGGAAAATTGTGCAATGGATTCTCTCTCAACAATTCTGTTTCCCTGCTCAAACAAGTACAAGGCAGATTGATCATTGGAAAGATCGAACTTAGAACGAGATATTAATAAAGGATTGTCATTTGTTAATCCTTACTTCTTAAGGTTTTTGCTATTTGACTTAGAACGAGATATTAATAAAGGATTGTCATTTGTTAATCCTTACTTCTTAAGGTTTTTGCTATTTGCTTTTCTGAGCTGCAATGTAGAAGGCTTGGAGCTTTTGGTGATCTCCACTTGTTGTTCACCTCTGCAAATTTTTTGTGAAAAGTTTAGGAGGTAAAACATGAATATGGAATGCAAGCGTCGTACAAGATTTACAAGTACCCAGTTCTTTTACAAAAATGAAACATCCTTGTTAAGTCACAACTTGAGAAATAGCTAAATGAATTCCAATTTAATGATTCAATTTTCCAAAACACATACAAAAAGCTTTTATCTAACGATCTTTTCCATATAACTAATATGTATAAGTATAGCATGGTTCCTTTTATTTTTTTTCATCTCTACATTGTGCATAAACCTTAACTGGATCAATAAATATACACAATTATAAAAGTAATACCTCATTTTATTTGCTCTAGGCTTATAATCATGCATCCTACATGCTCTCGATTCTTATTTACATAATTAAAAAAATACATATAGTCATGTCAATAAACACAAATATGAACATTGTAGGGTAACATACTCTGCAGATTCCTTATCAACAAACACCTCAATGTGCATGCTTGAAGGTGTTGGGACCGCTCCAGTGCCCGTTTTATGTGGAACCTAATCAAAATAATGACAGATGCAATATTTGTAACCTATAGCATGGTGCATAAGTGTAACTTGAATAAAATTCCAGACAAAGCAGAACCTTATATGACGACCAAACAGTAGGGGCTGAGGTGTTTTCTTTGTTTCTATCTGCTCGGGATCCAAGTGTGCGCCAACTACTGTCATTGCTCTTCTGATTTTCAGGCTGACACCTTGATGTAGAGTTTTCATCATTGTAAATAGAAAGTGGCTTATTGATAACAGTCATGCAGATAAATTAAGTGCATTAAGTATCACAAGTTTTGTGCAAGCAACATATTCTGAGCTTGTAAGAAAAATTCTAAAGCTGTTTGAGTATTAGTAGACCTGAATATTAGAGTACTCCTATGAAGAAAATATGAAATCTATCAACCATGGTTCAAATCTTGTTTCACTGTTTCAGATATACATAAAAGAATGAATAGTGGTAAAAACCTACTTGCAAAATTAAAGAATATAAATAAAAGAAGAGCTTGCCATAACTCCAAGAAGGCTATTTGGCAAGTCGACCATTTATGCTCATAAAACAAAGAAGCACCACCATACAGAATTTCTTATGATTAATTGTTAAATTGAAATATGCTCATAAAACAAAGAAGCACCACCATACAGAATTTCTTATGATTAATTGTTAAATTGAAAGAAAAGCAAGGGAGAAGACGATACAATACCCCACCTTCCAAGGATACAAAATCCTGAACACAATAGCAACCAATTTGACAGGTTTTAGTATTGCTCGGATAGCTCAATGCAAATGGCATCAATTATCTTAATTGCACATCAAATTAAGAACAAAATTCACTATAAAACAAATAAATTTAAAGATTGAAACTTTACAGTGAGAAACAAGTGAATTAGAGAATGTGGTTTAGGGAACAAACTGGCTGCAAGTCCTCCCTCTTGAGCCGGAGATTAACCCCGAGCCTCTCTGACAGCTGCTCATTGATAATCACATTTTATTATAATTTTATACCCACATTATCTATTTTATATGAATAAATATATCACTAATAATTGTTTTTATCTTTAATTACAGGTAATGAAGAATAAATCTCAAAACTCTCATCTCTCAACAAAAACCCCTTGAATAAATGAAGAAATGAAGCAAAGAAGCCCATTGGAAAAGCAAATTGTTAATTTATCCAAAAGCCCAAAATCAAAACAATGAAGCATGAAGAAATGAAGAAAAGCTCAAAGGGAAATCAAGAAGCCCAATGGGAATTCAAGAAGCCAAAGTGAAAAACCAAACCAAAAGCCCAAGCCCAAAAGAACAAGAGCTAGCTTCGGACAACAACCAGAAGAAGGTCCACATCGATGCCAGCATCGATGGGGGCATCGATGCCAGCAGATGCCAGCATCGATACCCCTATCGATGCTGGCATCGATACCCCTATCGATGCTGGCATCGATACCCCTATCGATGCTGGCATCGATACCATCGACATTCTGTTACAAATCTAAGGCTGAAATTTGTTGGTTTTGGATAAGATTTGAATCCAATGGCTCTCATTCACTGATGTTTACTATAAATAGGAGTAGAGAGTGAGGGGTTAGAGGTGTGAAAAATTTTGTAACTCCATTTGGAGAGGAGGGCTACTCTTAATTGAGAAGACCTTCTAAAATTATAACTTTTGTTGCAATTAATAATAATATTTTTTTCTCCACTTTAAATTTATCTTTTCTCCTCTTTGTTGAATGATGAGGATGGAGATGAAGAGCAATTTGAAGGTTTGCATTTCTTTTATTTTTCTCTTTTTTTTAGTAATTTTTTTATTATTGCTTATTAGTTAGATTTACATTCATGCTTGTAGTGTAGATTTATTTTCTTGTCTTTTTATTTCTTTTTACACTTTAATTTGTAGAGTAGATTTATTTTCTTGCATTTAATTTTTGTAATATATTTTGTAATTTAGATTTTAATTCTTCGTAGTTAGATTTATTTCTTGTTCATAGTTTAGATTTTTCTTTTCTATTTATTTTTGTAATTAATTCTTTTTCGTCTTGCTTTTATTTCTTAAGATGTGAAATTAATTCTTGTAGGAATCTTAGAATTGTATGATGCTAGTCTAATTTCCTTTATATTATGCAAATTATTCTCTTACACTTAAAATATTCATGTTTAGGATAATCAACTAGAGAACTAATCGGTAGAAGAAAAATTTGATAATCTATGCTTATCTTAAATGGCTTGATAGGTTATGCTTATGAATTCTAGAATTACTATCTTGTTGTTATTCTTATCATGAATAGTAATTTTAACTTAGATGATATTTGATAGGTTATACTTTTATTAAATGGTTTGATAGTCTATGCTTAATAAATCTAAGTTGAAATATGATAAAAAGAGAATAATTTGTATTTTATATTTGAGTTAGCTAGTGGATTCAATTCTAGATTTCTCATATCTTTAATTGAATCCTCCATCTTTTATTTTCTTGAATTATTTCTTGATTTTATTAATTCATATTTCTTGCCTTATGATTTCATTTATTCTTTAATTCTTCCTTCTCTCCTCTAAAATTTAATTTATTATCTTTTGCATATATTCACAACAATCACTCATCATATTCACACTTATTCTTTATTCCTAATTGTCACGCACAAAATATAAGAACCAAGTTTAATAATCTCTTAAAATCACCTTCTTCGTGGGATCGATATCTTTTTATACTATAACTTGATAAATTGTGCACTTGCAATTTTGGTACATAATTATGCCGCATCAAGTTTTTGGCGCCGTTGCCGGGGAATGTGCTAAAATAGGATTTTATTATTTTGGTTCTTTAACTTGTGTGTTTTTCTTGTGAAGGAACCGCTTGGAGCTTAAAAATCTTGGATTGAAGATTAAGAATTTGGATAATTACTTTCGGGTAAGTCTTCTTTCTAGCGTTTTCAATTCCACCCTCTTTAGTTAGCTTCACAATTAGAGACAATTAGGATTTAAAAAATTTTTATTTTTGTTGACCATAATAAAATCTATTTTTCACTTGGATATTAACTAACAAGATAATAAACTCAAACAATGTTCCCCCTTCTCATAGTTGTTGGATTGTTAACCCTAATAAAAAATATAAAGATTTTTTAATCATCCTTTTTAGTCGCTTTTAATTTTTAGGGTTGCATTTCATATAGTGTAGGAATTCACCAAAGTGATTGTAGCACTTGATTTAGCACATACTTGAACATTCTTAAGGGCAAAACCCCTAATCAAGATAAGGTAAGGGATTTCATCACTATTTCCTTAGCCCACAAATCACTAATTCCTCACTTAACAAACCCAAGCTCATTAAACGTTGGTCCCTAAGGACTCGAGCTCAATAAGGAACAAGAAATCCTTAAGTGAACCGGTTTGAGTTTTCTCAGATTAGTTGGTGTTTAAGGCAATGTTTAGGGGTTGTGTAAAGCGCTCCGTAAGGAAAGAGGTACTTAATTGATCTTTGATCACCCTCTAGTACTATCCTTACCTCGCTAACTACCTGGATAAAACTTTAATCTTTTCACTGTAGGAGTTTTTGGTTAGGAGCTGGTCTAGTTGAGTTAGGCTAAATCCTAGAATTAGAGTGATTGAAAAGTGATTGCTTTGATTTGTTTTAGTTAGGATTTTTTTTCTTTTCATAAAAAAAACTAATTTTATTTTTTTCCTTAAAAAATTGTTTTGGTGTATGCAAACTTGGGTTAGGGATAATTCTCATCGTTTAATCCGTGTTGAACCAATCCAAGAAATGGCAAATCAACCCGTTCTCTAGGATATGTGTTACCCTACCAGAAATGCAATTCTATCTTACATAAGACTCCCCGAAGCAAATGAAGCAAATTTCGAGCTTAGACCGCATTACATAAAAATACTTCCCAAATTCCTTGGAAATGAAACAGAAGATGCATATATTTTTATTTCAAAATTTGAGGAAGTGTGTATTATGATTAAAATGAGAGAATTAACTGAAGATGCAATTAGCTTAGATTTATTCCATTTGCTCTTAAGGATAAAGCTAAAAAATGGTTGTACAGCTTACCGACAAATTCCATCTCAACTTGGGATAAATTTGTCACCGTTTTTCTTAAGAAATTTTTCCCTATTCACAAAATGGTAAAGCTTAGGAACAACATTCAAAACTTTAAAATTATCCCGGGAGAGCCATTCTGGAAATATTTTGAAACAACATTCAAAACTTTAAAATTATCCCGGGAGAGCCATTCTGGAAATATTTTGACCGATTCAAAGATTTTTTAATCCAATATCCTCATCATGGTCTAGAAAAATGGCGATTGTGCCAAGTCATATATGAAGGATTGGACTATTCTTTAAAAACATCTTTAGAATCGATGTGTCAGGAAGATTTTATGAGGAAAAACACAGATGAAGCTTGGGAATTCCTAGAGAGTCTATCCGAAAAAACAATGCAGTGGGAACACTATGATGACAGGGTTTCATCAGTTCCCTAATCTAAGTCTAGTGGTCTTTCCCTGGAGTCAAACATTGCTTCTGAAGCAAAGATGGCGACGATTCTGCGGAGGTTAGAAGCCTTAGAAGTTAAGGAACGA